TTAAAGCGCTTGTTCAGCTCTGTGTCTGAACTCTCAATAATGAGGAAGGTGCTCCGCCAATCCTTCCATTTGTTTGCTTTACCTCTTGACATGAGGTAGCCCCTATGGCTCGTCAACTGATACCAGCCGGTACCGCCTGCCTTAGGGGTCCGGCTGAGGTAGTTCATATGGGCGAAAGCCTCGAAGCTCGGCTCCACCCCGTGCAGTTCGCACCCGGCCACATAGCCGAGTACGTTGACCCAGGAGTTTGGGGCTAACTGCCATAACCCCAGCTCATACCCATCCAAAATTCGCTGAACAGCCGGATGTAGTGGGAAGCGCAACCCAGCCTTGATAGCCGCCTCGTAGCAGCCAAAGCAGGCGCTGTCATAACTAGTACCAGCCGGCCAGACGACTGTGTCTTCTGGATCCGGCACGAACACTAAAAAGCTGGGGCCCATTGTGTGGTTTGCGATAAAGCTCCCCACTTTCTCTTGCATGACCGTGATCCGGCCCCGAGGTACCTTGCAGAAGTACGGGGTATTATTCTCTCGGTGAGAGGCGGAAGGCTCCGCCCAATCATCCCCCTTCTCAACTGCGTGAGACAGCCTCGCCTCTTGTAGACGACTGTTTTTCTCTTCTGTGTCCAGAGAAGTATGACCAGAAGAGCTAGATACGGACTCATCCTCTGACGAGTCCGAAGAGGACGACTCCTCCCTTCTCTCGGAAGGGCCCGCCTTCTGTTTTTTCAAAGGAGCAGGAGAGAGGGTAGAATAACCGGCTTTCAAGCCGCTTTGTACCACTTCCACATCTGGCGCCTGGTCAGATGTTTCACTAATTGGCACCCTGTGGGAGGAGCCGTCTGAGTTTGATATCCTGGCAGTCTTTTTTGTCCTGGCCATCACGTTCTGCATAGACACAGATATAGTCGGACTATGTATAAAGGGCGAAGATGGGTCCGGAAAAGGGCAGGCGGCACTCCTAGTCCTAGATTCAGCCGTCCCCGGTGACCGGCTGATCACTAACCTAGGTCGTGTCGTGTGCTTCCGTGGTACCATTTCAAAAAAGGAATTAAAAAACAAGAAAATTAAGAGTAAGAGAACTGACGGTTACCTGAACGAATGACGATTGATGAAGTTCTGAAAATCCTAAGCAGTCGGCTTGTCAGAGCAGGCGGTAGGCAGAAAAGGTCCAAAATGTCAGAGCAAGTTCAGGGGTCCGAATGTTCTCTCACAAAGTTCTCAAGTGTGAAAATGACTGAAGTCAACACTCCCTTATATAGGCGAAATGAGAAGGCGAAGGGTCGCTTCCAGAATTCAAAATTTTGGCGGGAGAATCTGTCGACCTTTTGCCGAGTGCACCTGTAGCAGGCCGACGCCTGTTACAGGGCGACACCTGTCACAGGTAACACGTGACCAGTCACGTGCCACCTGTGAGGGGCAAATGTTTGAGGGATTTTGCTCCCACCAATCGGAATGCGCCACGTGGGCCAATCAGGTCCTGCCAAGTGTCCCCCAGTTGGACCTCTCAAGGCTTGCCACGTGGCACGCGCTTATTCGTCCACCTTGGACCTCTTATGCCATGACATATGGCATGCTCCATGCCTATTGGAGAACCCGGCCACCTAGGCCCATCTTCCGAGGGAAGCCCAATCGGCCCAAGGTTGACCTAAACCTAGATTGGCACGTTTCCCGAGGCTATAAATACCTCTCTTAATCTTCATTAAGGGAGAAGAATTCAGATTACTGACATAAAACACTCTCACCTAGAGAGACCTAATCCCTTTAATCTCCGCACTTATTACTCCTCATACAAGGACTAACTTGACCGTTGGAGGCGGAGCTCCCACCACAAGGAGTCTCCGTTTGTTTTGCAGGTACAGGCGTCCGGCTCCAGTCTCGGAATTGTAACTCTCCCGCAGGACATCAGAAAACCCCGAAACAATAATAATAATATAATATAATATAATAATAATATAATACAATATAATATAATAATAATAATATAATATCATAGTAATATAATATCATATAATAATAATAATATAATATAATATAAATTAAATAATAATAATAATGATAATAATAATAATAATAACAATAATAATAATTAAACATTCATATTGATTAACATTAAAAGTAGAATATTGAAATAATTAAAATAAGGTCAAATCAGAAAAAAAATAAGTTCAGATCAGGTCAAATCAGAAAAAATAAGTTCAGATCAGATCAGATCAGAAAAAATAAGTTTAGATCAGATCAGATCAGAAAAAATAAGTTCAGATCAGATCAGATCAGAAAAAATAAGTTCAGATCAGATCAGATCAGAAAAAATAAGTTCAGATCAGATCAGAAAAAATAAGTTCAGATTAGAAAAAATAAGTTCAGATCATATCAGCTAAAATCAGGTGAACTAAACAGCCTCTAAGTCTTCAAATCTTTAGAAATCCTGATAATTATATTTGGCCTAATATATACGAAGTATATAGGCCTTGTGAGGATGTCAATCAGCTTAACTTGTTAAAGTATTAAAGGAGGAGCCCTTTCCCAAAATAATGTTAGGAAAAGACCCAATTCCATATATACAGTCGCTTTTTATTTGATTCCCACATTACCGTCTACGTCACCGGTTCGAGCAAGATTTTTATTTTTACGGTTTTTACAGAAAACCGCTACTTCAAGTAGCAGGTTTCTTACGTAAACCGCTACTTTATCTCTCACTTACACCACTACTTGAAGTGGCGGATTCCTTTTTAGAATACCCAAAAACCATTCTTTCGAACAAGAACACAAAAAAACATAGCAGGCTAACCGAATATGGTCCTCTCCTCTGCTTAGCATCGCAACCTTTCCGGAGCGCCGAACCTCCCTCGTAGCTGCTCTGAGTCGCTGGAAATAACTCGGTGGAGGCTACTCTGTCGGCTCCATCACTTGAAACTCCCTCGTTGCTGCTCTTTGTTGCCCTAATTTCTCTTTTTTTTTCCCAAATCACTTGTTAATTATAATGTTATTATAATTAAATTGACATGTATTGATATAAATTCACCTAAATTTTATAGTAATATCAATTCCTAAATGAATTTTTGTTTAATTTACCAATAGAAGCATATGTATTTGAACACATGCAAGTACCGCAAATTTGTGTTCAGCCTTTCTAATTATTTATTTGGTGAGCCAATTATACTCTTTTTATATAAAAAAAAATGGCCATTGATTTGTGGAGTGGATTGAAGAAAGTGGCTGATCTGATTGAAGCTTGCATAGGTTGATGTTCAATGTATTTATATGGTTGATTGAGGAACTGATTTCTGTAACAGAAAACCACTACTTCAAGTAGCGGTTTCTAGCTGTAGAAACCGCTACTTCAAGTGGCGGTTTCTTGTTATAGAAACTGCTACTTCAAGTGGCGGTTTCTTGTTATAGAAACTGCTACTTTAAGTAGCGGTTTTCAAATGAACCAGCAAAAAAAAATCGGATTTCTCTTACATGCTTATGTGAACGGTAATGTGGGAATTAAATAAAAAGAGACGGTATATATGGAATTGAGTCTTTTGCTAGCATTATTTTGAGAAAGGGCTTTTAAAGGACGAAATTAAAAATCCGAGATAAAATTTTGTCTATATCATTTTATTACTATCTTCATGTTTCTCTCTATATTAAAAGAACATTTTTTACTAATGATAAAAATTGTAGACTATATATCATACATGGACATTTTTATTTGATGCAGAAGGTCGGTCCAAAATGTATGTAATGAATGTGCGTGTTAACTTCTTAACTAAATATTTCAGAAAATTTCAGCTTTGAGTGGAATCTCTGACTAAAAAATCTTTAGCAAGGGCTTTGACCTTATTAATATCTTATCATTGAATTGCTAAATATGGTTAGTTGATCATCATATAAAATTACTAATATAGTATGTGTAACAGCTTGAAAGCTGCATTGCCTATTTTTTTTTTCCATTTTTTTTTTGTTCGTTTCCTTAATGAGAGGGGTAAGAGGGGGAGGGTTGTTAATCGAAGGGTTTTAGAGTTATACTTTTGTCGGTGTTTATAGTATCTTAAAATAATAGACCATTTTATAATTTTGAAGGTAAGAATACATTGATTATATAAGATAACTAATTTGAGAAATCCATTAAGATATGATCGTTGTAAACTTTTTATATTACTCCGTAATAAGATTTGAGTCAACAATTTTAGACGAAGGGAATTTCCCTCGATTATAACCTTATCTAGAATTACAAATCACAAAAAAACTAGCTATAAGATTTTCATGTTCTATTGCAAAATTTAAAACTTTCTTGTGGTAAATGCCTTGCTTGCCAATTTACTGATTACTTAGTAGTTAGTAGTTACTATGTAGATGATCACCATACACAGTTTAAGCCACATTGTCCTAGATTTTTCCTTAACAATTGCTTGTGATACAAAGTACAACTATAGTGTATGTATTACTTACACCATTTGTTACAAAATATAATCACGTTGATAATGTACTTTAACCAGCAATATGATATGAAGTACAATCTCGAATATGGACGCAAGTGACTAAATTTTTTCTGGATAATCATAGAAGTGCATCTATATCATCTTATAGTACAGCAGAAAATCAGCCTCTTTCAGTCCATGTTGCATGCAACGCTTATCTGTCAAAACCATCCATAAACATATATTTAATTATGATAATAATATTCAAATTAAACCATATAAAACAACATATTACATAATACAAATGGCCTGACATTGGTTTATATATAATTATGTTTTTACTCAGTTACTCTAATGTTCACTTTGTAGCTAATTTAACTAGCGAATCTTCATATAACATATGACCGCATTCAACTTTGGAATATAAACAAGTAATTAATTCTGCAATTTTCTTGATTTAATTTTTAAGTTTCCCAATGCTTTGTCTGTACGAACAACTTATATTCTAATAATCTTTAGGACTTAGGAACCCTAGCTTTGACTTGAGTCTCTCTTCAAACTAGCTAGCTCTATAAAATCTTACTTTGAGCTTTTTTATGCTTCTTCTCTTTTTTCTTTTTTTTCCTAGACCATCAAAAATAAAAAATAAAAAAAATTGCGTTAGAAGAAAAATGAGAAAATTTGTTTCCTTAAGATTGACTAGCTTAATTTTGGCTGTTTTTCTTCTTATGCATGCTCTAAGAAATTCCTTAGCTCATGCTCATCAAGGTGAATTTTTACATATGATTTTTCCTCTTAATTAATTATTGGAGTAATGATAATATTATCCTTTAAGAATGAGATTTAACAATATGTTCTTCCTTTTCTTTCATGTAGCTAAGGTATCGAATGCCCTATTGAGGAAAAATCAAGTTTTTGCAAGAAAGGTATGCTATTTTTCCAATCACTAAGCGAATAAATTAATTTAATTGAAAGAGATATACGCTATACTTACTTCAATTAAAATCTTTGTATCTATTTTACTAGCACCAATATTGTTACATTTACTCATAGACAAAGTTTTGTGTAGGAACTTGGTGAATCCAATAATCATGTCGAAAAGGCAAGAAAAGAAGCTATGGTAGGAGGAAGGAAAATGATGATTACTCACCATGAAGTTCAAGAGGATGATCATATGGCAACAACGAAGAAGAATCCAACTCCGGTGCTCTCAGGTTCTCCTAAAGTTAATGATACGCGTGATTTTGAAGTAAAAGGGGATCTTGATATGCGTTATAAAGTTAATGATCATACTACTACAAGTGGTTATAGCTCTATGAAGTTGAATGAAGCATTTAGTACAACTGATTATCACGGTCCTCGGTCACACCCTTCTAAACATCACTAAGTTAATTTTATAAACTATGACTTGTATGTATAGTAGATTGATCTATCTTGGTATAAATAGATTCAAAATTTTGTTGTGTATAGTCTATTGAATCTTCTATTTAAACTTTAACTTATTTAGGGATCTAGGTTATTTTAGCTAACCTATATGTCAAAGGTTGTTTCCAAGAGTTAGGAAATTATAGTTAAATGGCTATATATGCATGTACATACTATGTATGAATGAAATTCCTTTTTTTCGCTATATACTCCGCCTATTATAATTTGTGACATTCATTTTAGATTTGCAACCAATTTGTTAATAATTAACTAGCAATTAATTTAAGAAAATTATGATTTTTCATGGTTTATCTAATTCCTTGGCTTATTGATAGTATTATCTAATTTTTTTTTTTTTGGAATGCAGGAAATGATCAAGAGAGAAATGCTTTGAAGATCAACTCTTCTGTGAGATTTCATGATAAATCACACAATAAGGTATTTATACATATTCTTTATCATATAAATGTGTACTTTGTAAATAAAATTGTAATTTTGAAATTCAGTGATAATATATAAGCATTGACATTGTCTAATAATTTTAGCATTCCAATTCTTCTTTGTAACATGAATATTTAGTTAGAGAAGAAGGCAACACTAAGCAACACCAACAAGGCAAAAACTACTCAAGATTACTATACAAAAGCTAAAAAAGATGATGAATCAAAGAGACTCTTAGAAGCGGCTAAAGAGATTATGAAGCTAATGCATAAAGATTACCGAGGAAGGGGAAGACCTAAGAGAAGGCCACCCATTAACAACCATAATCCCAGACACTAAAACAAAATTAGCTCTTAATTAACCTCAGTTAGGTTTTAAGGTTCACAATTTTGACCCTTTGTAGCTAGTGAATCTTTAATCTTCACTGAGTATATAGTCCTGTATTATTTGCCTTTTTTTTTTTTTTTTTTTTTTTTTTTGCGGCTTGCTTTGCAACTTATTTCTAGTTATTTTAGATTAATGTATTAGGCTATAAAAGGAACATAGTATAGGTCATGGTCTTACATGACATATATAGCAGCACAGTTTTTTGTTAGGATTTTGTACAATATATATGCTCAACTTCTTCCTTTGTATCAAGTTTAGCGGAATTAAATAATACGAAGTAGTATCTGTGTTACTCAGATGGTATTGCTATAAATATATACTCCTTTCGCCTCTTAATGAATGTCTCAGCTTGTTTGCTTATGGGACATAAATATTATTACAAGAATTGAGTTGAATGAAGCAATAAGTTACAAGTATATTATATGAAGGATAATATAGGCTTGCTATAAGTCTAGTTTACTAAATTTAGAAAGTGACCTATCATCAATCTAATAAAAAGTCTTAGAACAAACATCAGGATGTTTCCGCGCTTCAATAACTTTGTTCGTTTCACTTATTTCATTTTCTTGTTGCTAAAATAAAAATGTAGATGGGTAAACTGTAGTGAAAAGATTAAAAATCTCGATTCAATGTAAGTTTATTAGCGATATATAGTTACAAACTTAGCTATTTACTACTCACATTGACAAGCATATGATGACAGTTTCTTCGTTGTAACCTTTAAGATATGAGATAATTATAATTTTGTAGTAAAAATCTTGCAGCAGTTTCTTAATTAGTTAATTACTTTACAACGTGTCTTGAGAAATGATAGTGTATTACTGTATTAGTGATGTGTTGGGCCAAAACATCAGTAAGCTAAGATAAATCCCTTTTGCAAGCACAAAACTATCACAATTAAATGTTTGAGCCCATATCTTGATTTTAATAGACAAGCCCATAAATTTTGAGCTCATATAGCAACTGTTTCCCAACAACACTTATATAAAATTGCACGGTCAATTTTACAACTTTTAATGACAACTCTCCAAACTCTTAATCCTAAAATCCTACTTCCTCCATTTCTTATTAGTTGATACGTTTAATTTTGGCATACTTTAAGAAAGGATGGGCAAGAAAGGCAAAAGACTGAAAAAAAACCCCACCCACTACTCATTAGTCATTGGAAAAGTATTGACGCATAGCACTTATGTGCTTAGAAAGTGTATAGGATGTCAATGGTATTCTAGTGGTACAATTCAAAATACAAAACATACGTATGACTTTGATTAAATGTACCAATGTGATTTCAGTGGTACATTTTCGGAGTATTAAATGTACCACTAGCACAGTTAAGTGGAATATTCAAGTTTTCTAATTGCTGGTAAATTACGCTTCTGCCCTCCTATACACTTTGTTTGTCAATAGTTATTATGCGCTGATATGCACTCTTAATCGTTACCCACTCAATGTACACACATCAGTCTCCTCCATGAATTACTACCACCTACACCACAACTACAAAATAATCATCACCTCTACCGCCTAAAATCGCTACCGGAGAATTTTCGAATTAGAGACCAAATAATTTATTAAGTGGAGAATAACAAAATTTGGATTGGCAATGAGGGAGGTTGAAGGCGCCGGGGTGGACAAACAGGAAACGGCCGACGGTGAGGAAGGAGATAGAAGGTAGATGAGAGGGAGGTGCTTGAAGCCTTGAAATTGGGGTGAATGGCTGATCGATAGCCAATAGGTAGTTGTTTGGGAGGAGAGAGAAAATAATTGGGGTTTTCAAAGTTGAACCACTGAGAGAGGAGAGAGAAAAAATAAACTGGGTTTGTGTAGAGGAAGGGAGGAGGGAGACTAAGTGAGGGTAGTTTTGACAATTTATTATACTCGTATTAAACTTTTTCAAAATAAAAACGTGTCAATAAAAAATAAAAAAAAAAGTAGTCTTATATTTAATTTTTGTTCCTTTTTTTATAAAAAAAAAAACTAACTTATCATAACTTCCTACATCAACACAATAACTTCCCCAAAATATACAATAGTCTCCTCATGTCAAATTTGAGAAGAAAATAAATTAATAACAATAATAGATGATTAGTATATTCTGTGCTTTAGCACGGATATGCTCTAGTTATAACAATTTCTAAGCTGGTTTTTATAATTTTATAGGACTATAAAGGACACCCTTACACAATTACACATACTATAGACCTTTCCTGTTTTACAACTTTCCCCTCTGCCACTGCCTCTGCCTCTGCCTCCGCCTATATCGATCCCACACGAGCTTCCGAAATTTCAATTGAGGAGCACTTACTGAAGGCTGCCTGATAATTGGAATTGGCAAGCATCAACGCGTTGTGCGAGCTTTGAGTAGGGCTAGAGCTGTATACAGCCCCGGCCGCGTCCCGGTCCTTGCTCACCCTCTCGAAGAGCTTTTGGCACTCTACTTTTGTTGTTATTTGTGTTGGATTAGCTTTGGCAATTGTTAAACTACAAATATTGATCACAAGAATAACCAAAAACATTATGTACACTACCCTATTGCTGCTCATTATATCTACGAGTAGTTATAATGCTTAATTAATCACAATTGATTATATAAGGTGGTCGATGCTTAGTTGTTGGGCTTTTAATTTGCTGTCGTTGTAATTTTGTATATATACTAAGGTATAAAGTTTGGATGTTTTTGTGTAAAAAAAAAAAGTTTGGATGTTTTTTAATCTTTATATTAGTGGGAGACATGTAGCACTTAATAATTCCATTATATGTTGGATTATATAAAAAGGTAGGTCTACAATCAATTGTAATGTTAAATATAATTGATCATATTTCTAATTTTTGTTTAATACAGATAAAGAAATTTAGTGATCGTGAAATCCTGCATTTAACCTGCAGGTTGTAAAATGTTTAAAAAAAAAAGAATTTAATTAAAGTCGTTTGTGTTATTATAAATGCAAATTTCAATAAAATAATGCAATTAAATTTGGAGATGTTTTATTAATCCCTCTGTTTCCTAATTTTTTTTTCTTTGTTCGTTTAACTTTTCCCAACATCTAAAACACGTAATTAAAAAAATTGAGAATGTGCCGAATAGTTATATTTATGTATTTGGATTCTTAATCCTTTCTCAATTAATTCTTATTTGATTTTGTTAAATTCATTTTCTTAATCGTTGAAATTCTTAAAAAAAAAATTATAAAAAAAAAACTAAAAAGACAGATCCACGGAATAAGTGGTTGGTGGTGTAACATCTTTTTACCCCTATAATTTAAATAATCCAGTCAAAAAAAAAAAACGTGGCTTGCACAAACTCCAAAAACATCCCAAGCCCCTTACTTTTCCGGCAATATTAGCTTTTTGGGCCGTTCTAATGATTGTAATGTCGCAACTTTATGATCAACTTTTCTAATATCTCAATCTTGCACATCTCACATTGTTGGGTTTATGACCCAAATTCGTTAATCCCATTTCTTGTATTCCTTTCGTGTTTTAATAAGTGTTATATCTTGATTTACATAAAAAAAAAATTGATAATTTAATTAACTTAAATAAAATAAGTGATAAGTGAAGTAATTAGAGCATTAAAAAATTGTAAAAGAAAGATATTAAGATTAATACGAAGTAGTTTATTGAAATGTAATTAATGTGAGAGGAAATAAATAATAAAAACAAATAGAGTGAGTTTGGGTGAAGACCATGAAAGGAGAAAGATATATATTAAAATGTAGTTTTTTGCCAAAAAAGAAAATGTAGCACTAATTAAAACACGACCATATTTAGACATCTGGTAAGTGTAACACTTATTAAAACGCGAAATAATTATTTTTTTTTATTTTTTTATTTTGGCAACACTTTGACTTTAACCATATTCACATATACAAAATACTACTTTAAAAGTAATAATCTTTAATGATTTACATTTAAAGTGTACAGTATAAATTATCTGTATATAATGTGGAATCTTATTACAATTGTTTTGATAACTTGATTTATACTTTTAAAATATTACAATTTATTAATATTATTACTTATCGACAGAGAAAAAAGTAAATGAGATAATGCATTAACAATCATAAAAGGAGAATAAGTGTAGCAAGTAAAAATGGCATTCAGTGAATTGATACTTTGTCCTCGCGTCACTTGATCAATCTTTGTCATTATGAATCCCTCTAATTACACCTCTAATATCATGGGGGTTAAATAGATTTTACTTGCTCTATTATACACCTAGCACTTGGCGCACCAAATTTCAAAGTTTTTTGACTTTTTTCTTATTTAATATTTGCTCATTTGAAGATTCTGAAATGAGCGAATTATAGAATCCTAGGTGAACCCACGGATGCAAGGATATTAAGTGGGTCCCTTGACCCAATTGAATAAAGAAAAAAAAATCTTATGAAATTAATTTTTTTTCCTATAAAAATTGCTCGTATTTTTAAAGAAAATTTCACAAGAATAATCTAACCTTTGCTCCATTCTCTCAAAATAATCCAACCTTTCAATTAACCCTGAATAATCCTAAGTTTCCTACATATTTTCTTCTACCGAGCCTATTTGACCAATTACCTGAACTTCAGGTAACTTTTTTTTTTTTTTCCTTAATTTTTCCCCTCCCTTCTTCCTTCTCCCCTCTTCACCTCCATTTCAAGCTTTCAGCCTTGAACAATAACGGCTCCCTCACCTTCCCGCCACCACCTCACATCACTGTCAACCTATCCCGTCAAGGCGTCAACTAGCCCACCCCACTACCCCCTCCTCTCTCTATCAACCAGCCCACACTACTAGAAAAAGGTCCATTTCCGACGGACAAAAAAATCCGTCGGAAAAAACGAAATTTCCGATAGAATTAAATTCCGTCGGAACTTTCCGACGGATATGGGTTTCCGTTGGAAATTTCCAACGGAATTTAATTCCATCGGAAATTATTTAGTTTTCGAGGGAAAATCCGTAGGAAATTAAATACTTTTCGACGGATTTGAAATCCGTAGGAGTTTTCCGACGGAATTAAATTCCGTAGGAAGCTTTCCAACGGATTTTGAACAATTTCCGACATAATTTTGATTTTTTTTTTTTTAAAAAAAAAAACAAAACAAAACTTAAACCTAACCCTAAAACACGGAAAAAAAAACCAAAACATTTCGCCACTTTCCCCTCTTTCTCTCGTCTCTCTTTCCCCCTGTTCTTCTCCTCTCCTCTTTCCCCCTGTTCTCCTCCTCTCCTCTTTCCACTCTTCTGTTCTCCTCTCCTCTTTCCACTCTTCTCTTCTCTTTAACATCATCAATAACACCAACATCATCAATAACTAACGCAACCACCA